ACACACACACACACACACACACACACACACACACATACACACACACACACACAAACACACAAACACACAAGCAAAACAGGTCATATACTTGAACCTCAGTCATGTTTGGAATCTGCTGAATGTGTGTAGGCGTGTGTGTGTGTGTGTGTGTGTGTGTATGTGTGTGTGTGTGTTCGTGTGTGTGTGGTTCACCTGCTGACTCGACAAACACACACACAGAGGATGAGCTTTGTTCTCTGAACAGTTACATTCCTGTTTCTCGTCAGTTTAATTCTCAACAGGAAGCAGCTGAAGTGGATGTTGAGGTTTTAAATGGAAGCTTCAGTTCGATGTTCATATTTTTCTTTTTTTTCACAAGTGTCCCAGTGTGAGTCAGTGACGGTGACGCAGCACAAACAGTTTCAACCAAAGCAGTTAAATGGAATTTTATGATTCAAACCTAAGTCCCATATTAATAAAACTGCTTAAAGTTCTGTGTCCGAGCTGCAGTTTACCTCATATCCTCATTAACAATAATCTCTCTGGCTCCTCCTCATTAACATGCACGATAACAATGAATACTAATGAGATCTAATCTGTTCCCGTGGCAACATACGCCGACTCTGTTGGGGGTAAAACTGGGGCGGCAGCAGGGGGGGGGTCAGGGGGGCCCGACTTGACAGCCTGTTTTTGAGGCCGGTCACAGATCTGAGGGTCTCAGGTCAACGACTCCAAGTGTGTGTGTGTCGGGGGGGTTAGGGGCCCACTGGTTTAAAGAAGCAGAATGTAGGATTTAAGGGATGTATCAGCAGAAATTGAATGTAATATTAATAATAACAATAATATATATATTTAGGAGAAAACCAGAGGTGTCCTGACCTGTTAGGAGGAGGAGGAGTGTTGCTAACATTGGGATCGGATAAAGATTTAATTGACTCCACGGGGAGAATCGAGGAAAAGATAATATGCATTCACATATTTCATCTGAACGTTTGGAGTCTGCTGGTTGGTAAACATCATGAGATGTTTTGTTAACTCAGTGTAAACCCTGGACAGGTCACAAGACTGACACAGAATCACTGTGCTAACTAACCACTGCGCCACCGCGCCGCTCAGATCCTGTATCTGGAGATACTTTGTTTGCCATGAATTATTTAGACGGTGGCAGCCAACCGTATCTAATGTGTCCCACCACACTTTCATAATAAACCACATTTTTACACACTCATATAAGATTTAAGATCTGTGAGGTCTCTCGTGTGTTTTGCTCTGTTGTGCATGAGAGCGAGCTGCGTTCTCTCGTGCAAGCTCCCATCGTCAGCCTCCGAGCAGCTACCACCACAGACTGATCTAATTCTGTGGGAAACATTGAAAAGTATTTTTTAAAAGTATCGTGAGTCTCCAGGTACTTTCATAAACCCTGGTTGATGAGACGACTGCTCAGCTCAAAGTTCATAACTGTGCTGCTGGACGTAACATGAGGTTAAAGGCGTCTCACACAAGTTCATTAACCGACAACACAAATGCAAGAGTGACACCATGACTGCAAAAGTCCGGCTGTGAGCACGGGTGCACCTCTGCCGCGTGGCTTCGACGCAGAACCATGAATTGGGCTCCTTTCAAAGTCAACATCCATTGACGCTCACCTCCATTGTTGTTGTGTTTCCGCTGTGTGTTGTGTTGTGGCTTTTTGCATTCTTGTTTTCCATTATTGAGCTTGTGTCTCGGCCGCCACACTAGTGGTGAAGTTTCTACGACTCTAGTTTGCACAATTAATACTAATAAGAGAATGAGGGAGAGGTAAATAAACCTAATAATGTAAAGTGTATGAGAACAGGTCTTTAAAAACATTTATCTTTACATTGATGACACACGTTGTTATTCTAGGGGGTAGAGTTGAAAATGTTGGAAACAGCTCCACAGGGGGAGGAATGGGGGAGAACAAGGGGGCCGAGGCAGCTCGTTTTTTGCCCACGAGGGCCCCCGAGCTGTTTGGTCCGGCCCTGAATGTGAGATAGAAGATAAAATAATGACGTGACTTCCTGTGTGTTAGTTTCATTCATCAGGAAACATGAAAGCTCCTGAATGAGTGACACCACCTCCTCACACCTCCTCCTCCTCCTCCTCCTCCTCCTCTGTCAGTACTGACCTCCTCCAGCAGGTAGACCGTGTTCCTGCAGCTCAGCATCCTGGAGGTGAAGGAGGAGGTGGTGGGGGAGCTCCAGTCCTCCTGCACCTCCTGCAGGAAGTCCGGCACCGACACACACTCCGGCATGGTGCTGCAAACCAACCGGGACCAACAACCGGGACCAACCGGGACCAACCGGGACAGTCTCACAGAGCAGAACAAAAGAAACAGAGCCAGAGACGATGATCAAAAATAAAAAGATTTAAAGATCCACAGTGTGAAATAATCCCACGAGCTCTGAGTCCTGGTTCTAAACCTGGTGATTAATGACCGGATCCGGTGCCTCCTCCTCGGTCACTTCACCGCAGCATCAGTCGCTTCTTCCTCCGAACAAAAGGTGAGAAAACCCCGCAGGAGAAATAAAATGAAAACCGAGCGCAGCCTCCACGGCGAGAAACACACACAGAGTATTTCAAACATGAAGTATTTAAACATTCAATTCACGGAGGTTTTCAGATAATTGAGTCTTGATCCGGAGGAGCAGCCTCACTAACCCGCCCGGGTCTGCGCGTGACAGCCGGCTGACAAAGAGCGGAGCAGCCGAGCGAGGAACCGGAGCTCTGGACACCGGGGCCGGGCAGAGATGAGGGGATGAGTCCGGTGTCTCCTCCTCAGATTCAGCTTCATCTCTTCTCCTCCATCACCTGCTTCTCTCCGCGTTTCCTCCTTTATTCTCACCGCATGGACAGGCGCGTTCACGGTGCACGTCGGCGGAGCCCTCTGCCGCGGCGGCGCGCCCTGCTGACCGAGCACAGAGGTGCGCTGGGAAGAAGAACGATGGTCCTTATAATGAATAATAGTATTATATATATTATTATATATTATATTATTATACATTATAATACCATCACTGTTTTAATGCTAATGTTTTATTTAGAGCACAAAGGAATACTGGGAAGAGGAATGAAGGTCCTTATAATAAACTACTATCTAATACAGGGCTGTTTTATTATTGTCAAACAGGAAGTGTGACATGGTTTTATTTATTTTAGAGCACAGTAAAGACATTTAGTTTGGTTTTAGAGCAAGAGAGAGAGAGAACCATATCACTTGGAGCTACAGTCTGTGCTGTATAGTGATCACAGACAAAAGTTGTGGTTTTACCATTTCTGAAGCTGTGTCACTGACATGGCAGAAAAAATAGAGGAACTCCTTCAACAGCAGCACAACCCGAACTGTAAACTGGTTTTCAGATGTAACTTCCCTTCAAGTCTCGCTTCAACATTCATCTCAACATGATCCATCATCATCAGAGCTTCAGAGGAAACAATCAGAGCATGCGTCTGTAAACAAACCATTCTGACTTCCTGTGGTTCCAACTGGAGACGAGCAGACGTCTGGCAGCTGAGTCCCGACTTTAACACAGCTTCATCCGTCCAACTGTGTTTTCTCATTATTACACTGAATTATCTATGAATGAAAAGGTTTGGACGTCAGAGGATGAAAGGTAATTTCATCATAAATTAATATTAATACGTTTTATATTCATTTGTGACAATGAATGCGGGAAATGATAAACCTCAGTTCTGAGTTCTTATTTTTTTAAATAATATCTGAATATTTGGGGGTTTTGTGCTTACTGCCTGAAAACAGACAGAATCACAGATTCTAACTTATTCACTCAGAAATAGCAGCAAACATTCAGAATGATCTTTCTGAAACTGGTATAAATGAAAATATCAACTTGAGTTCTGTGTCAGTGCAAAATATACTTTCTTTATTTTACCTATTTATTCATAACAGCATCTGTATTTAATCAACGAAACTAAACTTGTACACAATAGTGTGAATTATTTTGTCTTGGAAAAGTGCTTATTTGTCGGACGTAAGTTTTGTCCAGTGATGCTACACAGTTATAACATTTAAATTACATTATATTAATATGTATATCAGCTAAGCATGAAGGAAAAGGTGTCAAGTAATTTTCTCTGGTTGTGAATGACTCTGACAGTAAAAGAGAATCTTAAATACATCAATCATCATCAGATCAGTGGGGATGCTGGGTAATGTAGTCAAGTCCAGGCTGAACGTATTAAATCGTGATTGAGATCCACAGTGATCAGCTGGAGGAGTCAACAATGACGTAAACTGAGAAACTTGTGCTGGAGGTGATGAAGACTCTGCACGTTTCTTCATCCGTTGATGATGAGTGCGGAGATTTGCTGTGGCAGCGTGTAGACGATGAGGCCGAGGAAGAGCGTGAGGATGGCGAGGATGATCAGAGTGATGATGAACTTCTTGAACCTTTTCCAGATGAGGAAGATGAAGGTCTTCATCGGATTGACGAACCAGTTGAAGCTGGTGGTTGGACGACTGGGGGGGACGACAGGAGACTGGTTAAACTGCAGCAGGCTTCATGTCACACCAGCATTTAAAACTGATCAATTTCACAATGAGGTCAATGCTCTCTAATGAAACTGCTGCAAACACTTCACTCACTTCATTTTATGCAAGTTGCCCTGTGTGGACTTGATGTGCCATTAGTGACAGAGAAGCAAACGAGCTCAATAAACCGATCACTTACATTTAGCACGCTCACAAATTCAAAGACAGTTAAATGAGTTAAAGTGCTCATGACAGCAAAAGGGCCAAAGTTAAAACATGACTGGTGTCGGGGAACATCAGCGTCTCTCTTCTGTGAAAGAATATACTCACGGGTTTGTTTGAAGTTAATATGAGCTTCATACCTTTGTTTTGCTGTCTCGCACTGCTACTAAGCAAGGAAGCTACTCATGTGAAAAATTGGGAACCTGTCCTTTAATGGTGAAGATGTGTGCGTGTGTGTGTGCGTGTGTGTGTGTGTGTGAGCACGTGTCGTACTTTGGTTTGTCCAGAGGCTCCGGTTCTTTGCGGGCCCGCCCCACAGGGTTGGCTTCCGCCTGCTCCAATGTCACCAGCTGAAGCTCGGCCTCCACCTTCCCCTTCACACGAGTATTAAAAAAGACTTAGTGTTTAAATCTACATTAACTTCAGAGCTGCACACTGTTAAATAAAGAGAGGTTATTCAAATAAAGGCCTGGTTCTCATGGGAAACACTGAGGTGAGTGAAATAACCAGTTCTATAATGTCTCAGATGGTAAATTCTGCTTAATGCATCGTTCACTCCACTCTGCTGAAAACACTCTTTCTTTGTAAGACTAATATTAATCCAACATAATGTCCAGTTACTTCCACCTTACATTTTGTGATTGCTGTTGAGCTAATGTGAATTAAACTCCTGTGTATTTCCTGTGCCCAAGTTCCACATTAAAAGCACACCATGGAAAGGAATCTAAAAAATCCACATGGCTCCAAATGCCCCTCCTTGTCTTACTCAAACTCAAATGCACAAACCAATAATTACCAAATTACAGATTGCAGAGATGTCAGTGCAGCAGAAATGCACATAAATTGTATATTTAGGAGTCAGGCTGAGTTTTTTTGTACCATAAGCAGGAAGGTGTTGCCGCTGCTGTCGGTGTACTGGAGATGCTCCTTTTTCAAATTTTTCCTCTTGTCCTTGCTCTTCTTCTTCTTCTTTCCCTTCTTCTTTGCCTCCTCCTTCTCCTTCTCCTCCCTCTCAAAGTCCTCGGCCGTCTTCAGGCGGGTCAGTGGCCACCAGCCCTTCATCTTCTTTGCACGGAAGATGGAGAATCGGGGGCTGGCCCGATCCTTCGCCATGTCGATCGAGCACAGACTGGACGACTTCGCTGCTCGCACCATGTCGCCGAGACGAAGCTCTATGGAGCCTGGGGGAGGACGAAATGTTTCGGGTTTTCTTTTGTTCAAGTTTGGACATATAACAGTCTGAGATTTTAATTTAGTTTGTGCTTTTTCAACTGCTTTTAATTTGAAAAATCTCGAGAAGTTGTTGACAGCACCTGAAAAACCCCCAGATCAGAATGAATTAAAATAATTAGTAGATTTTGTGTCTCACCCAGGAAGTCGTTGGCTGCGATGCGATCATAGTCCCACACCTGCAGCGTCAGAACGGCCGGCTGTCGAAACTCTGACTCCTCCAGAGAGAAGAAGGACTCCTTCTTCTTATAAACCACCTCTTTCTGTAGGAGGAGAGATTGACTTCATTTCCACAAACAGACAATCAGACTGTCAATCACAGTGTTTCAGTAAAATCCTCCTAGGGGCTGCAGTACCTCAGTTGGAAGATAGTCGAAGCGGAACACAAATCTCCAGTTGAAGTTTCCTTCTCCGGTCAGAGAGTTGAAGTGGACGTCAGTTTCCTGTTTTTCTCCTTCCATTCCCTTTATCCATCTGCACAGAGAAGACACCACAACACTGAGCCAGTTGTTATCGTGGCTAGGTTAGCTTGAATTAGGCGTGTGCATGTCTGCGTGCGTGCATGCATTTGTGTTTGTGTGAGCCTAACCCTTTAACGTAGATGTCGGATGACGGGTCGCCAGTGAACGGGTTGACATCGTCCAGAAACACATCGTCCGTGTTCCAGATGATGACACGCAGCTCGTACCTGTTGCCATAGGAACAAGGTTACGTATAATCACTCCTTCAGTTCTATTATATATATTCTACTGTACTTGACTGACTCACTGTTCTGGTAGGCGGGGCTTGATGTCTACAGGGGGCGGGGCTGGGACATCAGTAGGAAACATGTCCACCCACATATGAAGGTAACCCTGCAACACGCACATACACAAACCGCTTTAGTAACTGTTGTTGAGCGTGACTGTGGTTGTTTGTGTTGTGTTGTCACCTGTGGGAGTCCAGGTTTGTCCGGGTTCATCAGGGACCGCACCTCCACGTGCTCTGGGACCAGACGGAGGGCACCAGGGAGGAACTCGCTCATCTCCCCCCAGCGCTGCAGCACACTCAGGGCTGCGTGCTCCTCCATCTCTGCCTGCTCCTCTGGAGAGTGCTGGTTCTTCTTTAGCAGACCTGACAACAACAGTCTAGAGTTAGAGCCAGTTATACGGTTCATGGTGTTAGCAGCAGCAGTAGAGCCAGGTCATAGTAGCAATACCAGTATGGGTATATGATATATTCTGAATGTCCACAGAGGTATAATTATACGCTCTTCTCTTCCACTTTTACAGTTGGCTGTTTTTTCTACCTGCTCATCTCACCACCTGTCTGTCTTTCTGCCTGCCTGCCTGCCTGCCTGCCTGCCTGCCTGCCTGTCTGTCTGCCTGTCTGTCTGCCTGTCTGTCTGTTGTCCTACCTTCAGGTACTGCATCTGGTGGGATTTTGAAGATCTTGTTGAGGACCTTGACTTCAGATGTTCTGTACTCCGGAGACGGGATGCCGTTCTCCCTGCAGAGCTCACCCAAGATGGCTGACGGCTTCTTTGCATCATGCCAAATATTGTAGCCATCCCTGGAGAGAGAGAGGGAGACAGACATGTAGATAAATACTGATAATAAAGTGTCATAATGTTTTCAGTACCAGTGCCAATATTTCATAGCTGTGTTGTAAACTGTTGTGTCTTACATAGTGTTGGATGGTTTACTGACACTAGATAGATATCCTGATCAAAGATACTATTCTCCATATTCTCATATGCTCTACGAGTTAAACACTGGATTTCTAAAATATTTCTGCAGCTAAACACAAACAAATCAGGGATATTTAAAATCGAACCACAGCACATTGCAAAACATTTCTGTCATCTGCTGGTTGTCTTATGTAACATTTCAAGCCTGTAGCAAGGAGAGGAGGGTAATTGAAATATTCCAAACATATGTTCTATTTCATCTATAAACCTCACAGAGACCATCCTACATGTCTTCATCTCATGCAGGAACCCTTTTCCCAATCTGAACCAAAAATCTATTGATCGACTCTAAACGGTGCAGAACTCAGCCTCCGGGCTTTTTATCACAATCAAGAGACGTGATCAGAGGCCTGTGATCTGTCCCAGAAACCGGCTGAAAACTAAAGAGGACAGAGCATCTGCAGTCAGGACCCTGAGGCTGTGGAACGATCTGCCTGAGGAAATCATGTCCTCTTAAGAAAAACATTCATCAGAGGGCCACTCCTCTCTTACAGCTACTGTCCTTTATTTAAAGTATTTTAAATGTCCTCTATAAATAAAGAATATTATAATTTCACATGTTAGATACTAGCAACATTGAAGTAATGCATTGTTTTCTAGTTTGGGACTTTAAGTGTCATAACACTGGTTCTAATGTGTCCATATTGTAGTTTTGAGAGTTTTATGTTGCAGTACTAGTACTAATTTGTCATCGTTTTGGTACTAATATGTCTTACTACTGGTACTGAGGTGTCACAGCCTTCTTTTTAAAAAGTAGCATTTTAAATATCTATATGTCATAATTCTGGTACTGGCCAATAAGTGTTTGTACAAACATGGTGAGGTCCTGGTTGTGACGACCATCTCTGGACAGGCCTCTCCTGAGCTGCACTATTAAAGCTGCCCCTGTCGTACTCACGTGTCATAGTAAAGAGCCAGCCCACAGCGGGCTCTGTGTCGGCTGTAGAACCGGTTCTCCAGGTCGACCCGTGTCTCGCCAATGGCGTCATCAGAGCCCACGAGGTCGTGGTCCATCACCATGATAGCCAGCTCTGTCTCCAGTGGGAAAGATACGGTGAGTTCAAACACCCTGAAAGACAAAGTCAGAGAGACAGTTGGACAGTCATAGGCTGTTGGACCGGTACAGGTTGAACAAACAGGTACTCACTCTCCGAATGTAGGGTTTAGCTGTTTGGGAATGTATCGATCTTTGGAGTTGAGACTCTGCTGTCCAACTCGAAGCACCAGGTACGGGTCAGCTTTTCCATTCGGGTCTGTGGGAGCCAGATTGGTGGCCTGGACACAAACAGACGATAGAACACAAAGTAAAGCTCACAGTAAAAAAACACAGTACCAGCAGGGTTGAAGGAAAAAAATGGCTCCTTTGTAGAAGCCAACTCTCATATCTCAGATTTCTGCACATAATTGAATTTCGGGCGGATGGACAACCAGAAATCATGATGCCTTAAGCCACTGAATGGCACCGGCACAGAGGCATCAAAATGTTGGAAAGCAAAAGAAACTAAGACAAAGACAAGCTGTGATAGACAGAATGACAAGTACCTTGACAATGTAGACTCGGACTAAGACTTTGATGGCGGAATTTGTGGGGATTCCATCTGTGATCTGACACTTGGTGTTGTCTCTGTCTTCTAAATCAATCGGATAAACCAAGAAGGAGCCCTGAGGACAGAGATGACAGAGCAATGAACACCTGTTATCAGAGTAACAGACAGAAAGACCAGAACCCCTCCGTCCATGGTACCTTGTATTTTCCCATCACCCGCTCCTCTTCATCCTCAGCCTCATCTTCAACGCTCGCTTTGCCTTTATACAGCGGGAAGATCTGCAGCCAGTCCTGGAACTGACTGAACTCTGACTCCAGATCACCTCCATACAGCTGAACACACACACACACACACA